AATGTGCCCAGGAAGATTAAGGAAAGGAAAGCACTGAACTGTGACGCTATATCTTACTAATCCAGACAACTGTTACTTTTATGTTCTCTCACTTATCTGTGTCATATGTCTAATAACCAAAACTTCATGCAGAAGGAATTTCAGAAACCAAGCTTTTTGAAATACAAGTTACAGAATTTTAAGTGGGCTCTGCCTTAAAATATCTGAAATTATAATACTTAAAACAAAACAATATGGAGTAAGAGCCTGATTAGCCCATCAAGGAGGCTTGCTTCTTCTATCTTCTGACTCAAAACATATATGGGATTTGCTCTCTGTGGAAAGTCATCTCCAACTCATGTATGGTTTTAGGTTATTTTAGTCGTCAAGGAGTTGTTTTATTTATTAATTATAATATCTTTAATTTCTATTTTAATACACTTATTTTGTGCTTTAGTTGTCAGCTTTTCCTTTATTTTGTTGTTTCCTTGAAGTTGAACATCTGAGTATGATGGTACCAGTTAGTTACTTTTTAGAAACACACACACACACACACACACACACACACACATATTTAATTTCAGTTAGGAAAGAATCCTTTTAAATGAGTTATTTTCTCCTGGTTGATTTCCCCCAAAGGTATGAGTAAAAGAACAGCTGCCTAAACCAGCAGTCTCCAAAATGGAGTTCACACACCCCATGGTGAAAAAACAGCATAAATTATCTGTATTAGTCTTTGCTCATGCTTTTATAATATACTAGAGGCCTGATGCACGAAATTCGTGCAAGGGCATCGGCCCTCACTGCACTGGCTTTGTCCAGAAGATCGTAGTCTAGAAGGGCATGGAGAAGGTGATTCGGCTTTCAGGTCTAATTAGCCTATTACCCTTTTATTGGTATAGATTAACATGTTGATGCTAATATAGGTATCTATACATATAAAGAGCAAAGGGCCATCACATCCAAAACAACCAAAAGGACAACTGAACAGGCTGCGTGGGGCAATCAGGGCAGCAGGGGATCAGTGAGGGGCAACCAAATGACCAAACAGTTGGCTGCATGGGGCAACCAGGCCAGCAGTGGGGGTTGGGGGGAGGGCAGTGAGGGATGACCAGGCCAGCATAAGGGGATTAAGGGGGGACCAGGCTAGCGGAAGGGGGAGGGAGAGTTGGGGGTGAACAGGTTGGCAGGGGAGCAGTTAGGAGCGACCAGGTCAGCGGGAGTTCTGGCAGGCAGGCAGGTTAGGAGTGATCAGGCAGGCAGGCAGGTTAGCAGTTAAGAGCTAGTGGTCCTGGATTGTGAGAGGGATGACCAGATTGGAGAGGGTGCAGGCTGGGCTGAGGGGATCCCCCAACACATATAGCCTGTGCATGAACTTCATGCACAGGGCCTCTAGTATGATTTATAAATAAACATAACACTCAAAAAATGCATGTTCAGAATTTTGGACTGATAGGAATAGGCAATCTCATATGTTTAGAGACCTCTGCTCTGAGCATGGATGCTCTAAGCATGATGGGCAGTCTATCATTCAACAGGGTTCACATCCAACTGAAGGGGAGAAAAGTCAGGTTCCTCCAGCTCTGTGCAGCAGAAGAGTGTCATTCCTGGTTGGTGGAGAGATGGAGAGCTTAGGAATATGGACAGTGTGTGTTTTCTGGTCTTTGTTATCTAAACTGGTGCTTTCTTTACAGCATAGGAGATATAATCAACAACATTTTAATAACTATGTATGGTGCCAAGTAGGTACTAGACTTATGGGGGTGGGGAGAATCCCTTTGTAAATTATATAAATGTCTAGCCCAGTGGTTTGCCACTCTGTTGACTGATGAGTTTTCCGACCACTGCATAAGGCATTACCCTTACCCTGAAGTTTTGACTTCAGGTTAAAGACATTAGTACATTATTAAAATGTTTTTTTTAAGTGTTTTTCCCTAGGGCAGTGGTTGGCAAACTCATTAGTCAACAGAGTGGCAAACTGCAGCCCGTGAGCCACATGTGGCTCTCAAGCCGCAGTTTGCAGACCACTGGTCTAGCCACTACGCTGTACACCTGAAACTAATACAATGTTCAATATAAACTGTCATTTAAAAAAGAAAAAAGTAACTACAAAAATTAAATTAAAAAATATAATAAAATGGCACTTTACTTGGGACTTTCTCTTCAAAAAAGGACTCAGGCCAGCCCAGTCCCTTTCCCCCGCTATAAAGAACTCTTTACCATGACTGAAGGACAATGCCAAAGCCATGAGCTGAGCCCTATTCTTGGGCTGATGCCAACCCAGACTTTATGCTTAAAATGTGGCATTAGATTTCTTGGCTTTAAGGTCATGGCCAGTAGGCAATTTAGGGGTTTTTTTTGTGTGTGTTTTTCGATTGTCCTCCCTGCCAAGAAAACTGACAATGCTCTCTATATCCTCTGCAATCTATGTTGATTGTAGGAATGGAGTGTGGATTATACATCGTTGGGTACAATTACCTCCCAGAATACAATGCATCTTTTTTCAGACATCCCAGGGAGATAATTTGGACATAATGAAGATCTATAGTAATCAGATAATTACTATCGATTGCTCTTTAGACGTCTTGATGAGGTAATTAGGGTCTACTGGAAAGAAGCTAGAACTGATTGATTGGCATGACTGTAATCTCAAAGATTTCTAATTATGTTTCTTTTCTTCTAATGGCTTATAAACAAACATCATTTTAGCTTTAGAATTTGTCAGGTGCCAGGTTCACTGGGAACATCAGCTTTCTCTATTATGCTAACTAGACACTGAGCATGAACATGATCAACATAAGCTCATTATACTTTCCTGCTAAAGCAAAAGAAACTGCAATTAACCCTCGATTTTCTTATGCGTCTTCATTTCCATGTGGCCAGGTTCTTATCCAGAATGGAGTGTGAAGTGTTGTAGGAGGAGGTCCATGAGGAGCATGCAATTCTGGGCTGGGTGGATCTGTGCAGCCGACCGGGGTACCTCAGAGCCTGCTGAGCTGCAGGCACAGCAGAGCCAGGGCACAATGACACAACATATGTTCCCGGATGGCCAACTGACTGGTCGGGGGCTGGGTGACTGCTCAGGCTCCTGTCACAAGTAATAGCTACTCATCAAGCAGAGAAGTTGAATAACCTCAGCATCAATACTCTCAAGTGGCTGGACCATGCTGGTCTTTCGTCAATGTGCTATTGCCTCATCTCTTCCATTAGACACTAATTAGAGGAGTCCCAATCTGAAATCCTAACACTTCCTACACCTTAGAGGACCTCTCAGCAGCTTGCCTTGTTCAGAATAGTGGCCTGACTCAGGGATGATGGATGCTGAGAACCACTAAAGAAGCAGCTTCAATGAGCTGTTTACATCGAATCAATGACTTTGGTGAGCCCTGCACTTACTAGACCTCAGTCTGGTTCCATAGTCACAATTCTCCTCTGTGACCCATGTGTGCTTGGTATAATGGTAAGGCCCAATACATGTGTGTGAAATGGTCTGTGTTATTGGACACCATGTTTTCTATTGAAATCTCACCAAAGAAGAAAATTACATATTTATAAAATCCATTTTTTTCTTGAACTCCTATTTATAAAATAAATAAGTAAAGGTTGCAATTTACCTTGTATTTGTGTCACTAAAACTTTTAAAAGCATGAGGGATGCACAACAAGCACAGGAGTGGAGCAAAGGAGACCCAGGGTATGTTGTTCATTGATCACCTGTGGTTCAATGCTGTTTGGATAATGGCAGCTGTAATGGAAATGCTCCATTAACTCCCATTAACCATCTTGAGGGATGTAAGTACATATAGAATGTATCTTCGTTTTATATCTTCATAGTATAAGTAAATTTATGTAGCTTTTTTTTTTATCAGCCACAATTACTGAGATGTTCTTTTTAAAATTTAAGCTAAGTAATTGCTTAGTTCATTATGATACTGAGAAAACTTTCTAATCTACATCAGTATATTTTCCTCTAATAAGACATATAGTGAGCACATCTCAATGTTTTTTGATAACTTGAAATCCTGCAATGGAATATTTTAAGCAAAATTTTACTATTTTATTTCTGTAAGTATGGAAACTACAAAAGATTGAAAAAAATTCCCCAAACATTCAAAATGCTTGTTCATGAGTTAGTTTTACCAAGTCTGACATGAGTTTGTTTGCTGGTTACTTGCCCCTTTCCCTAAAAGTTCATTGAAAAGCTACTTATCTATTTATAATTCCACCTATTTTTTTTTTCTTTTTGCTGTTTGTGTGTTTTTTCCATTTGGGGTTCTTATGGTTGTGTTCCTGTCTGTGAATAAATAGTTGGCTTGTTCATCAGGAAGTGCACTCTGTAATGAATTTTCCCCCAACAGTGTGATTGCTGAAGCAGAGTTGATGGTCAGTGGGATCCGGTCACATACACACTGGCAGGGGCTTCAGCTGAAGGGCCTCCAGGCTGCAGAGGTGGAGGTCACCTATTGCACAGGTTAGCAGGGTGGCAGGAAAGTGCAGTGAGGAAGTACTCATTGTATGAGAGAGCTGATGAAAGTGATACAATTCAGCTGAAACAGGTTTGGCTCAGTGGATAGAGCACATGTGTCAAACACAAGGCCCGGGGGCCAAATCCGTCCCGCCAGGCCTTGCAATGTGGCCCGCACTACGCTGTCATCACTGCACTCCGCTGCGTTTCCATCACAATGACAGTTTATGACTGTTCAGTAAACCATTCGGCCTGCGATTTAGGCTGGATTTTAGATTTTGGCCCCTTCTCTGATTGAGTTTAACACCCCTAGGATAGAGCGTCGGTCTTCAGACTGAAGGGTCCCAGGTTCGATTCTGGTCAAGGGCATGTACCTTGGTTGCAGGCACATACTCAGTAGGGGGTGTGCAAGAGGCAGCTGATCAATGACTCTCTCTCATCGATGTTTCTAACTCTCTATCCCTCTCTCTTTCTCTCTGTAAGAAATCAATAAAACATATTTTAAAAAAGTGATACAATTCAGTAACGTGCTTTTGGTTTGGGTCGCGTCATTGCAGGAAGTTTTGCAGCTTGAGAGACAGATGGGAGGACAGCTCCTAGAAGAACCGAAGGCTCTTCATTTCAAAGGCAGCACCCACAACCTGCGCCTGTCCATCCATGACATCGCCCATTCCCTCTGGAAGAGCAAATTGCTTGCTAAGTATCAGGTAAGGTACCTAAGACCAACTCAAGGCTTGGAGCCAACTCCATGAAAGAGGACTGCACTTATTAGACATGACAAAGTCCCTTCCCTGAAGTCAGTCAGACAGACATCAGCACTTGTTTCTCCAAAAGGATTTAAGATTATTTAAGATTTTTGAAAAGTACTCTAGACATACTTGAAGGAATGCCTTTTTCTTAATTCTCCTTCAAATAATTGAACTATCATTGTTTTAGCCCTAGCAAATAAGACTTCAAGTCCCTGGTTACATTTTCAGGGTAAATGTTTACATTGGCTTGATTTTAAAAACTCTCAAAGGCATTCATAAGAGAAACAGAAGAACACTGTTAGCCCACCTGACACAAACTTAGCAGGAACCCAAGTTTTGAAACTGAAATGGAATGTAAAATAAAATCTGGGCCCTGGCCAGTGTGGTTCAATTGGTTGGGCATCATCCACTGCACAAATTGGTTGCTGGTTCAATTCCTGGACAGGACACATGCTCAGGTTACAGGCTAGATCCCCAATAGGGGATGTGCAGGAGACAGCCATCAATGTTCTGCTCTCACATCAGTGTTTCTCTTTTTATCTCCCTCTCCTTTCCTCTCTCTTTAAAAAGCAATGAAAATATTTTAAAATAATAATAAAACCTAGTCAGGATTATAGTAAATATTAGCATACCTATCCCAAGCCCCATTGTATGTTCCTGTGGAAAAAGCATAGGAACTCTCCAGAAGTTTCTACCTCCTCCTCCATCAGCCTGAGCCAGTGGTCAGGAAACTCATTAGTCAACAGAGCTGCAAACCATGGCTCAAAAGCCACATGTGGCTCATGAGCCGCAGTTTGCCGACCACTGGCCTGAGCTATCAGGAGACTACGGTATGTGGCAGGATCTCTAGCCTCATTTCCAGTTCAGGAGATGCAGACACACTTCAGTAAGCTGTGAAGATTGGTCTACATCCATGTAAATCCAACCCCATGCCAGCATTGCAACTAGACTGGTTATGATTTCCTGGTATAAGTCAATGAAAATATTAGAAGGAATGAAGGGAAGATTTTCCCTCTCCATTCTTATTTTCATACTAGAGGCCTCGTGCATGAATTTATGCATAGCTTGGGTCCCTCAGCCTAGCCAGTGATCAGGGCCAATCAGGGCCCATCTCACCCAGTCCCTATCAGGCTGGATGGTTGGTTGGCCAGGGGGAGGGACCAAAGGAGTTGGCTGGCAGGCTTCATTGGGTCCAATTGGGCCACCCAGTGTGGGGGGAGGGAGCGATCACATGAGATTGGCTATGGGAGTGCACTGACAACCAGGGGACAGCTCCTGCTTTGAGCATCTGACCTCTAGTGGTAAGTGCATGTCATAGCTACTAGCAGGTCATCTGGTCATAACAGTCACTTAGGCTTTTATATATAGAGATATTTAATACTCACACATACATTGTGGGAGACAATCAATAACAGGTTAAGTAACTTGCCTCAAACCACCAAGTAGGTGAGGGGAGCATGTCCTCATTTGCACTTCATTCTCTGCCTTTAGCCACCTGTTCATCCATTTTTTTTAATGTATCAACCTTTTCTTTATTGAAACAGGTTTCGGGGTGGGCTCTGCAAGGTGGTCTAGACTTTTTAAACTGCATGCCTGCTAGAGGCTCAGTGCTTTTTAGGCCAAGGACTTTTCTGCGGCAGCTAACCAAGTCTCCAGTTTCCAACTATAGTACATGTTGCTTCCCCCATGTCCTGTGCAAAGGGAAGATATAGGCATGAAAGGGACCCGGATCAGCCCATTATCCTTTAGAGCTTTTTTGCTTTTCTCCAGAACACCACAGCAGGGTTTCCTTTTAATGAGCAATGACTGGAGTATACAGGTTTTATTTAAACCATTTACAATGGCTTTTTTTTTTTTTTTTTTTTTTTTTGTAAATGAGAGACAAATGGAAGACTGGTATAGAGATTGTGGAGGCTGACTCCCTGGGTTCAAATCTCAATTCTGCCACTTACTAGCTGTGGGGCTTTGGCTGGCGAATTTAACATCTCTGAGCCTCAGCTTTTTCATTCGGAAAGCAGTTTGGGTTGGATTTGTAGATAGGTAGGCCTGTTGTGATTAAATGAGGTAATATGTGCAATACTGAGAATAGCTCTTGGCCTCCCCGTATCTGATAATTCGCCTTTGGTATTAGTGACTTATTTGTGGTTAACATGATTGTATCGTTTAGGAAATTCCTTTTTACCACATCTGGAGTGGTTCTCAAAGAAACCTCCACTGCACATTCACTCTGGAAAGATTCAGCCTGAACACGGTGGAGCTGGTTTGCAAACTGTGTGTGCGACAGGTGGAAGGAGAAGGTCAGATCTTCCAGCTCAACTGCACCGTCTCAGAGGTAAGAAGCTCTGAAATCCGGGGACAGAATGACCATGGGGAGGAGAGACAATGTGGAGTACAAATGTATCTCGACACAGCCACATAGGCAGTCCTTAAAAGCTTTCTACATGTTCTATTTGTTAATAATATGATATTTTTAATGGACACAGAGAGCTAGATACATCCTATATAAGAAAAGGCTAATATGCAAATAAACTGAATGGCAGAATGACTGGTCATTATGATGTGCACTGACCACCAGGGGACAGACGCTCAATGCAAGAGCTACCCCCTGGTGGTCAGTGTGCTCCCTCAGGGGGAGCACCACTCAACCAGAAGCTGGGCTCAAGGCTGGCGAGCCCAGTGGCAGTGGCAGGAGCCTCTCCTGCCTCTCAGGCAGTGCTGAGCCATCCCCTGAGGGTTTCTGGACTTTGAGAGGGTGCAGGCTGGGCTAAGGAACACTCCCTCCAAGTACACAAATTTTGTGCACTGGATCTCTAGTAAAGGAATAAAATAGGGAATCCTTTCAAGTCTTTTACTTTTTATGACATAAATTGAAGGATCATATTCTAATGTTCTGCAGCAGATATGAGTACCAAATATAAGGTTAACGTAAGTAATGTGCACGTGGAGTAACTTTCCCAAAGCATCCCCTGATGAGCTACATCCCCACCTCTGCCACCTCTCCTCCCCGCCCCCTCTATCCTTTGGGAGCTTGCCTACCTTTTCTGGAATCATGTGCTGCCTACTAAGGTGGAGGAAGAGAAACTGGCCTCTGCCCCCACCCCTCCTTTTTCTTCTCTTTCCCTTTCCTCCGTGTTGAAAGGAGACATCTCTGGGAAACATCATTCTCTAATATAAGAAGATATGCCAGAAACAGGGTGGGTGTGGGAAAATGGGTGAGGGAGTCAAAAGGTGCAAATTTCCAGTTACAGCAAAATAAGCCATGGGAATGTCGTGCAGAACATAGTGACTGCAGTTAATAATAAGGTATTGTATCTTTGAAAGTTGGTAAGAGAGTAGATCTTAAAGGTCCTCATCATAAGGAAAAAAAAAAACTATATATAAAAATGGATGTTAACTAGACTTACTATGGTGATCATTACACAATCTATGCACATGTTGAATTATATACATAATATAAAGCTCTATGTCAATTATACCTCAACTACAGGCCTGGTGCACAAAATCCGTGCATGGGGGAGGGAGAGTTGTCCCTCAGTCCAGCCTGCACCCTCTCTAATCTGGGACCCCTCAGGGGATGTCCAACTACTGGTTTAGGGATTGGGCCCAAACCTGCAGGCAGACACCTCTCTCACAATCCAGGACTGCTGGATCCCAATTGCTCACCTGCTTGCCTGCCTAATTGTTTCTAACTACTTCTGCCTGCCAGCCTGATCACCCCCTAACCACTCCCCTGCCAGTCTGATTGGTACTGAACTGCTCCCCTGCCAGCCCAATCACCCCCAACTGCCCTCCCCTGCTGGCCTGATCTCCCCTACCTTCCCTGCCATATCTTGCGGTGGCCATCTTGTGACCACACAGGGTGGCCATCTTGTGTGAGGATGTGACGGTCAATTTGCATATTACCTCTTTAATATATAGGATAAAGATAATTAAGGGGGAAAAAAAGATATCTTCTTTCCCAGGATAGGATAAATGTTCCAGAAATAAAAGTAACATCTGCAGATTTTCCCAGCTACTTGCTGCACTTTGCCTTTCTCTGCTGTGATCCTCACTCAGTTCGGTTGATCACTCCTCTACAGAGACAGCAATATGCACTGCTAGGTATAAGTGCTCTGTGTGGAAACGGGTGCATATGAGGGTGTCAAGGTCTCAGGTCCCCTGGCCCCAGGGCTGTGGTTTGACAGTGGGCACCATGCTGGAGACAAAGGATGGGGAATAAGCAGAATTATCAGAGGCAGCTCATCCAGGGCCTCACGGAGCTCAGCTCCGTGCTGTTTGCTGAGCTGCAGAGCCCGGGATTGCCATATTTTAACACTACAGTGGGACAGCACATGATTTAAAAGGCGACTCTCCCTGGCTGTCTCGGCACAGTGAGGAATGAAATGTCAGGCTATGCAGCAAGCCGAGCTCCCCATGCTGTATTTAAAGACTGTCTTCCTGAGCCAGCCCGGGTGGGGAGAGTGGCAGCCTCCAGGACACTCCATCCCTCTCTCCCACAGCCTGCTGTGTGGTCATCATCTCCTCCGGAGTTTCAGTAGACTTCTGACTCATAAACAACTTTAGTCACAGACCCGGTGACATGGATCAGAAATGAGCTGGGTGTCAGGGTGCCATGGCAACCACAGGGCCCTCCTCACAGCCCTATCTCCCCTCGCACAGCACCACCCCTGCTGGCTCCGGAGGGTGTGTTCACTTTCCCAGCAGGTCTGCAAAGTTCAATAACTACCCAACCCCAGCGACAACAAAGGCTGAAGGATTTGGTTGGGGGGTGGGGGGGGGGCTGCCCCTTTGATGCTTGCTTTCCGTGCAGCGGGAATGCTGGCTGTGTGGTGAAAAGGTTGATCAGATGCGCAGAGAATGAGAGAGCCATGGAGGCTCTTCCCTGCTTGGTCTGCTACCCACGCCCTCCCTCCCTCCGAGGGGAGAGACAACTCTGCATAGTGTGCTGACCATGTAAGGGCTTTCTCTTGCCAACGTGGGGGGGGGGGGGGGGGGGGAGGGAGAAAAGATGATTTCTTTGGTAATGTGGTGGCAGGCAGCTCAGAGAGGCCAGCCTCAGTCCCATAGAAGGCCTGTGCCAGCCTGGTACCAGAGGGAGGGGCAGAAATGACTGCAGTCAGAGGACTTTGGGGATTAAGGGGCTCTGTGCTGCTCTTATTTCTGGGTCACTGAGTCCCACTGTTGTTAGCATTTGAATGCGGTGCAGGTGGCCCACCGAGGGGGTGGGAGGAGTGTGGGGCTGGCTTCTGAGGTTGAAGAGTGAGCCTCAGCTCTGAGCAGCTTGCTCTGGGGAGCCTGAGCCCCGGATCCTCAACAGGAGCTCAGACCAGGGGTACTCTGTGATGGAGCAACCATAACCAAGCAGAGGAAGGCTCCATTTGTGAGGTCTTTCTTCTGACATGGCTCCTTTCTGAGGTTCCCCTCAAGTTGTCAGGTGGACAAGGCTGCAGTGGCCATGCCCTGCCTCCCAGGCATGAGCTGACTTGCCAGGAATGTGCTGCTCACGCCCCTCCCCCCACCAGCCACCGCCTCTCAGGGCTTCCCAGCAGTCCTTTACAAAGACGTGGCCCTTGGCCTCTGTAGCCAGGCTGAGGACCCTGCCCGCCAGGGAGGCCAGGCTGTGCTTGACATAGACCATGGTGATGTCAGGAGCCGGCCATTGTCCCTCTCCAAGTGCTTTGGCCAGAGATTCCTTAACTGGAAGCAAAGCCCTGAGGCTGGCAGAGATGACGTTTAAAAATGAAAATGTCTGCCGGCTGGTGTGGCTCAGTGCTTGAACCAGGAGATCACGGTTGATTCCTTGTCAGGGCACATGCCTGGGTTGCAGGTTCCATCCCCAGCTGGGGGGCTAAGTCCCCAGTAGGGGGCATGCAAGAGGCAGCTGATAAATTATTCTCTCATTATTGATGTTTCTATATCTCCCTCTCCCGTCCTCTCTAACAAGAGAAATATATAGATATATCTTAAAGAATGAATTTTTTTTAAGTATGGGCATAAATTAATATCATAATGTAAATGAGAAAAGTTTTGTGTGTGTGTGTGTTTTAGAGGGATGGGAGAGTAATAAAAGGGAAGCTTCCCATCACCACCAAGAGAGAAACATAGCTTCGTCAGGCCTTCCATTCAGTTTTAGCTACAGAGGGAGATCTTACAATTAATGTTCACTATTAATACACAACACTTTTGTGTACACCAAGAATAAATACTATTTAAAACGTTCAAAGTAACATCATTCTGCTATAGCCCTCCCGTCAATTGGCCTCTTCTGCTTTCTGCACTTTGTTCAAAACGACCATTGGAAAGCCTGGGATTCCTCGTTGGCTTTCGGGAGAGTCAGAATATGGGAGTGGAAATCTGCTGTGTACTGGGTGCTGAAAATGCATGTCGTCACCCATAGCAGCTGTTTGGTTAATGGTGAGAAACCATATGCTTAACTAAGGGACTCACAACATCAAAGACAGATGGTACCAATATCACAAACAATTATTGTAATAAGCATTCTGTGAGTGTAAACTCCGCTGTTACCTGGAAGTGAGGGGAGAGCTAATAGGAACTGAAATCACTAGATGAAATTTAAATGTAACTGTAGAGGTGTATTTTTCGTTTACCGCCAAGGCTGTCAGCCATCTGATAAGAGAGACAAGACATTATGCCTTGTCTGTTGGGCTTGTTTCATCCCCACAGAAGTAAACAGGCACAGCAGCCTGGACTAGAGACTCAGGCTGGAAGGGCCACCGGAAGTGCTAACGGTTCTCTATTCATTAGGAAAGGTTGACAACGTGGATAGGTGAGCACAGAGGTCTGAAACTGCAGCTCGCAAGCCACATGCAGCTCTTTGGCCCCTTGAGTTTTTAGCAAAGGTCAGCTTAGGAGTACCCTAATTAAGTTAATAACAATGTACCTACCTATATTGTTTAAGTTTAAAAAGTTTGGCTCTCAAAAGAAATTTCAATCGTTGTACTGTTGATGCTTGGCTCTGTTGACTAATGAGTTTGCTGACCACTGGGTGAGCAGACCTTCCTGAGAATCACGCCTGCTTGGCCCTGGCCCTTGCCATCAGCATTTAGTGGTGAGAAGAGCCATACTCTTAGTCACATTTAGTTGGAAGGAAGCTCCACACACAACTCAACTCTGTGGGGTGGGCTTCTGCCTGAAACTGGCTTCAGACCCTTTCTGCACCAGGCAAAACATTTTCTTTCATGTCAACAAATACAAGCTCAGTAGCTCCCAGGTGCTGAGTATCATAGGAATTCTGATGACAAAAATCCTCTCATCCCCAAGAAATGTGAACAATCAAAGGAAGTAACATGTAAATACGGCCAACATGCATCAGCAGACTCTGAGGGCTGCAGAAGAGCAGGGGGAAGTGTTTTAGGCCTCCGGGTTGATGGGGGTATTTGCTCCAGGGAGGCTCGGGGGACTTGGTTTTGGTCCTGACTTTGAGGGGGTTGCGAGGCCGAGATTATCTAAAAGGAGGTGCTAGGGACAGTGAGCAATCCAACCTGAGGAAAGTGTGAGTCACCTCAAGGCAACCTGAGAAAGATTAGGGTCAGAGGGTCAGGCGGGGGGAGCACATGGATAGGGGGCCCTTACGTCATGTCAGGCCTCGCTCTGCATTGTATGGGCATCCCCTCTGGGATCTCATACCAGCTGACAAGGTAGATGCTGCTGCTACCCCAACTGCCTGATTAAAAGTTGTGGCTCCCTGTGGCAGGAGGGAATGAAGTACTTCTGAATGAGGGGCTGGAGAAGCAGCAGCTTGGCACTTTAGAAGATCAGTGTGGTAGATGGGGATGGGCTGCAGGTAAGCAGGAGGAAGTTACTGTGGCCAACAGCAAGAAGGGTCTTTGGAGATAGCGCTGTACTAAGCAGACCCCTCCCTGTAAGAACGTGCTCTCCAGGGAGGCACAGTCAGCGTGTGGTTGTATTTGTGGGACATGGTGGTTTCCCCCTGGACTCTGGTGTTACTGCTCACATAAGAAGCAAGCAGGAGCTCCCTGGGGCCGATGGCAGTGAGAGGTGGAAATACCATGTGCTTTTCCCTCACCTTCCCCTCCCCAACCCGGACATACATTGTGTGATGCCTCATGTAAATTCGGACACGTGGATTCAGACATCCCCAACATAAATCCATTGGGAAACCCCACGTGCCCTCTCAGGTAACAGTCTGCTTCCCCGTGTGGGAGCCCCGTGCCCTTGAGGACTGGAGCCCTCCCTCCTCGCAGTCCCTTGGAAGAAGCCCTGTGCCCGCCGAAGGGGAAGCTTTGTGGGTCATGTTTTCATTCAGGGCTTCCAACTCCCATTGTTGCTTCTGTGTTTCATACCAGTCTTCTAAAACCCTAGCATGCGCTGCTGGAGTTAGCACAAAGGAGCAAATGAAATCCTGGGCGTCTCTGCTTGCCAAGCTTTAGGTTTGGAAGCCAAACGCTGTGGTGGCAGCCAACACCGCTGTGTGTATTAAAACACAAAGAGTTTTGTTTAGCACTAATGTGCGTATGCGCCCTGCGCGGTGGGAGTACACACGCCTCGCAGTGACCGCTGGCTGCTGATCCCGGAATGCGGGGTGCACTGTCTGTCAGCACTGGGACCCAGACAGCAGCGACCCTCCGTACAGGAGCAGCAAGGGTGGGGCTCTGGGGGGGGGGGGGCACTGACCGCTGAGCTGAGCACTACAACACACCAGAGTCTCCTTGATGCTTGAAGCTGTGGGTGTCTCATTTATCCTCTAGCAACTAATTATGTGCATCAAAGAGCTACCTGCTTTAGAAAGAGAGAGAGAGAGAGAGAGAGAGAGAGAGAGAGAGAGAGAGAGAGAGATGACATTTAAAGTAGATTAAGGAGATTTTCTCCTGTTATTGCTTTAATCGTTCCCAGGCAACATTTGCTTTTGCTTTTCCAACCAGCAGAAGATCAGAAAATGATTAGAGTTTCTCCTGCAGATGAAATTCAGACTTTTTGCATTCGTGCTGTTTTATGAGCTGAAACTATTTTAAAAGCCAATTTATGGTTTTCTCTACTACAATTCGACTTAAACAAAATAAGGGTGTACAGTCATTGGAAGATTCCATTAGCAGCTTGCCCTATGGCTATTTATTGCGCTCACCATTTTCTTCCCCCCAAAATTAGTCTTAATTTGATATAACTTAGAGGAGAGCTGTGTTCCGTTGCATTCCACAAAAGCAGCTGGAGCCATTGTCTACAGAGGTTAGCCAGGAAGGTACTTGGGCATTTGCCTGGGTCTTCCCCCTCAGGGTCAGACGGTCCCTTTAAGCTCTGAACTTTTGGTCTTCTGATCTCAGATCTGTTCAAGATCTGTTCACTCATAAATCCAAGGCTATGCAAAGCCAGCCCAGCATGCACCTTTCCTCTCAGCCTGGTCGCAGAGAGCTGATTACAGCTCTCACAGGAAGAAGCCGTTCTCCCCAGGAAGAACAGTAGCCTCCATTCTCTTCTTCCTGCTCAAAGCGAGGCATTATGGTGACTGGAGCTGCTTTTGTCTCCAGAAATAATGCTGTGTTGTTCCTGTGCCTGAACTACAGGAACCCACCGGCATGGACTTGCCTCTGCTGGATCCAGCGAGCACCATCACCACCATGACAGGCCCCAGTGCTTTCAGCATCCCTCCCCCGATCCGGCAGAAGCTCTGCAGCAGCCTGGATGCCCCCCAGACAAGAGGTCACGACTGGAGGATGCTTGCGCATAAGCTCAGCCTGGACAGGTGGGTGTGGCCAGATGCCAGGACTAGTTCTGTTAGACATAAGCCTCCAGGCTGGTAATGGTTAGGCACAGGGAAGCATTCTTTTTCTTTTTTTTCCATCTATACATCTATTTATTTTCCTTCCACAAACGTGCGTTAAGCTTCTTCCTTGCATCGGGCACTATGTTTCTGCAGATACATGGTTGAGAGACATCCTGGGCTTATCTGACATTTGCAAGTCTCAAGTTTTGTGATTCACTCTGCAAAGCTGATGGGCTGAACCCCCCTAAGTAATACGTCCCTGCACTAAAGTAATTATTGTTCTCCATCTCCTGGAGAGCAGGACCTGCAGCTGCATGAGTCACTAATATGCAAAACACGGCATTGACATTCAGGTACCGGGAGACCTCAGAGGCCTCTTCCTTGTAAAATGTTGCCATCGCTACCGAGCAAGAGACATGGCATGACCTGTCAGAGCTGATTGGAGCCTGGGCTGGAAAGAGAATACAAGTCTCTTGATTTCCTGTTGAGGATGTGACCCATACACATGTTGTCTCTTAAATTATCTTACTCAGAGTTGAGGTTAACAAAGTTAAACCTTACATTTCCTGCCTGGGGCTGATGTAATTAAGTATGGGCTAGTTATCTAGGCTGGTTCACTGTAAAACACAGTTTCTCTCTCAAGTGGGACCTGGATTCATAACACGCAAATGGACAGACAGAAGGGGTTGTAAAAAATAAAGAGAAAATTGCCCGGCTGAGGTAGCTAAGTGGGTGAGCATCGACCTGTGATCCAGGAGGTCACAGTTCGATGCCTGGGTTGTGGGCTCCATCCCATCAGGCAGGAGGCAGCCGGGTCAATCCATGATTCTCTTTCATCAATGATGTTTCTATTTCTCTCTACTTTCAGTTTATTGACTTAAGGAATCAATAAAAATATCTATTTTTTAAAGTAAAGAGAAAATAGATCTGTAAATAATGCCATTAAGCAGCACATTTGCCCATTCCCAATTATAGGTACTTGAATTACTTTGCCACCAAGTCGAGTCCAACTGGAGTAATCCTGGATCTTTGGGAAGCACAGAACTTCCCGGATGGAAACCTGAGCATGCTGGCAGCTGTCCTGGAAGAAATGGGAAGACATGAAACTGTCGTGTCTTTAGCAGCAGAAGGACAGTACTGACCCACACTGGACTGGAGGCACAGGGAGTCTGTGGCCATTCGGGGATCACAGCTGAGGAGGAAATCCAGTCCAGACCAATGAGCTTCACAGGCAAGATGGCAGCTGGAGAGAGAAGGAAAACAGATACCAACTACCACCCTATATGCCTGCTTTATGGGACCTCATCACCAGAGTTAAGAACAATTATGTACATTTGTACCTTGAATTTAGAAACCAACCTAATCTTCCTCTTTGTTGGGCTGTATGCTGTGTGGTACAGGAACTTACAGTTTCCTAGGAAACGCTTTTTATTGCTATCCAGATATATGGATAAACTTTCTTAACAAACCCAATTTCTACAAACGTTGTTTACATCAGATTGGACAGGGATGCAGACACTGTCCATGGCTCGTTCTATTTTTGTTTAAATCATTTGGAGTTGAAGCTGTGGACGGTTCGTTGTGTCTATTTCAGATTAGTAATTCACAGAGAAATCACAGACTTTTGCTACAAATCATGTGCATCAAGTGTCTCAGATAATCCTCCCATCAGTATTCCGTTTCTAGAGCTCGTAAAACCAGTGTTACCGTTTGTATCAGGGAAGTGGGGAATCTAAGTGTGAAGGAGAAACAACTAAGACTCCTTATTCCTTTAGGAACCCGCCCGGGGCCCTCTGGGAATAAAGCTGCAGCATTGCAGGAAAGACAGTGATTCATGTTCCACCACACAAACAAGCATTTCTTCACAACATGTGTGTTTGTGGTATGCAATTTAAAGTGTTTTTTTGTTTTGTTTTGTTTTGTCTTTTTTTAAGGTACCATTACTATCATTATTATTATTGATGAGTATTTACAAGTATTCTAGTGAAAGGCTTTTCTTTTAGCTTCGGTTTTTGTTAGCAGTACTGTTAGTATTTAGATATTGACTAGACCTGCTTCACCTTTTCCCAAAACAAGGTGGGCGTGGTCACCAGTTTAATTAAACAGGCATTGCTTCCTGGACCTTTCATCTTTACCCATCATTTTGCCCCAGAAAGGTAGTTAATGCTTAATGGCTTTGTCCCTCTGTTCTTGCGGTGTGCTCAGGCAGGGTCTTTCTCCCCTGAGTCCTCTATTCAAGCTCACTGAATCCCGGGGTCCTGTGGCCCCACACTGACTCCCCTCAGGACTCTTTCTCCCTTAGAGGCAATGTGTTTGGAGGAATGGCCTCTGAAATGAAAATCAGGAAACCAGTTCTCATGCTGGGTTTGTCATGGTCTAGCTGTGCTACCTTGGGAAAGTCATTGAACCTCACCAGACCTCAGGGTCTTCACCTGTAAAACAGAGGGGTGGGATCAGATAATCTCAAGGTTCCAACATGCTGGACCTCCACTCCAGTTCCATTCATTAGTGTGAAGACCACAGTGGGCTCTGAGCTGGGTCATTCAAAGACCCATCAAGGCTAGACTCTTGTCCAGGCTACATTATGCCTTTCAACTTGTTCCAACTTGGAAGACAATTATTCTAACCTGTAACATATTTGATATGCTTTCAAGTCTTGTCTTTGTGTCAATGAATTATGCTATTCCCTGAGAGATGGCATCCTTAATTATCACTTTCCTTCCTCTCTTGGAACTATTTGCCTTCCTGGTTAGTAGCAAGTTATGTCTTATTATTGTCTTGGTCAAATTTTTTAAATTAAAAAAAAAAACAAAACTGAAAAATAGTTCATCAAGGGACTATTTTGTGTAAATTATGATATTTTCTTAGGACCATCACAGACTCTTTGTTTTAACACAGGGACTCCATTCATTCAGCAGGTGGGGATTAGAGAGTTAAGAGCTCAGTGGCCTAACCAAGATTGAAAAACAAGGACCCACATGTATGAAGAACCTTCAACACATGGCTGTGGTTTACTTTTGGGCTAGAGGTGAACAGGTTGCTGAATGGATTTGAATTAGAAGGAATTTCATGCATTTCTCCATTCTTTCCACATATATTTCCTCTCCTGACTATGTTGGTGACTTCTTCATATTCCAGCCTCCTCCATCTTTGTCATTGAGAAAATATTATACCTTGATATGGAAATTTTCTTCCAGACCTTTTATTTCTCATTTTTTGTTGTAGATATGCATTCCATAACCAGTCTCTCTCAGGCCACTCCCAGTACCATATATAAAATATGTTACACTTATCATGAAAGGGAAAGATTGCACTAATAAGCAATTTCAGTGGATAATGTCTGTACCAATGCATATTTGACCAAAAGATAGTAAAATTGTATTCTACATAAAAAATTGTAAATATATATTTTTTAAAATGGAGGAGAAGAGAGCTATTATCCATTGCTGCATCTTGAAATAACTTCTCAAGATTGCTCATCATTACTGGTTTGGAGGGTTGTCGTCTATGGAAATCAAGAATTAGAAAGCTGCAGGCTTCTCAAAGGAACTTTCATGCCTACTGAAAAATAAAGAGGAGCAAATATCCAGCTACCCAGATAATACATTCAAAACTTGAACTAGAAAAAAATCATTGAAAATCATCAACGCAGAAATATTGAACATAGCAGGCAGGGACTATATCATCAGAGCCATCAAGGGCCTTTGGCGTTCACTTCAGCTGCTTCATATTTTGGGGTTCAGCACCCCAGCACCAGAAACAGGAAGAGTGGTTGATTCTTTACTAAGTAAGGTGCTCTTCTACCATCTGTTGTAGAACCCTGTTATGTTTCCTATCAAAGGAATGGCTACTTCCATACGCACCTCTTATGTCAGATAATCTTCATTATGAATTCTGATTTCCTTCTTTGGAAAAATGTATGTAATAGCTGTTAGTTTGCTCTCAAATTCAGAAGCTCCAGAGCCAACATTTCATTTCAAAGGAGTCACTTCATCAGCTGTTCTATGTGACCTGTCCTGCCTTCCATGTTTATTTAGCTTGTGCAGAAAGACAAGGCTTACTGCATTTTGAAGGGAAAAACCTATCACTTGTGCATGGTGCCATCTAGTGGTGTATAACACAATTTACCTTCAGCTTAATATAAAAACTCACTAAGAGTTGTTTGACAAAGGAACTGAAAACTTGCAGAGTAAATAGGGCCTTTATAACAAATAGATGTGTGGACACTTCATTTCAAATATAGTTTTCGTATTCTACTTTTTTTCTTCTCAATTAAAATATCCATATAAAAAATTGCATGTCATTATGAGCCTATTATGTCATCAACACATTCCTACATGACACATCTCAAGTTGGATTTTGATAATAGAAATACATAAACATGTTTATAAAAGTCATTGAAGAGTTGTCATTTTAACATTTATATTTTTCATTGGGCTTTATATTAAATCTTTATTTTAAATCTCCTTATCCTTGGTCCTCTAACATTTATTTCTGGAAATGTGAGAAGCATCCACTTGGAAAAAAATGTTTTATGTATGAAAATGAATATCATATGTCTAAGTGATTGAAAATTGTGGCTGTTGATCAATGAGAAAAAAAGAAGCTTCCTTCTTTCGAATTTGGGGATCTAAAGGCAGAAGTCTTCTTTAATTTCTTTTTTTTTCCCCCTCACCACACTCATTCAAAGTTCCTTAAAATGATCTAGAAGGAATAGAAGTTGGATTCAGAATTGATAACTGGGCACAAGGTGATGCAAATATGTAACACCAAGGTCCTCACAGCTAAGAGCCTTTTCACACACAGTGTGACTACCAATGTGGATAGCCAACTCAGTTATCTAGAAAAATCCATCCCACATCAGCAGTGGAGACTCTTCCAAGGCAGGACAATGTCTTGGATAAAGTGTTCAATATTAAACTGCTTACCCATTGACCATTTTCATCTATACTTTTCTTCTGTATATTTTCAATTCACAACATTTAAACAGTAGGCCATTCTTTAGGAAGACATCAGGAAGTCTGAGTTCAGGACACTCTAGGAACAACACATCTAAGCATATATTTGAGTGGCATTTCTCCTATATCCATCAAGTAAGCATTCCAATAATAGAATCAAACTTTTTACTTCTTCTGGAAAGGCTCAGACAAGGCTATTTTCTTATGTGGTCTATTTGTCTCCATCAGGGACAGAGCTGTGCTCTTGGTCCACTTACTCCTCTGTCATCAGTGTATGAGAAAAAGAGCCAGTCAGGGGATCACTATCACCCCAGAATTCACAAGTGGAAAAAACCATACGAAGACCTGCAAGAGAGTGTAAAGGAGGTGGGAAAAGTTTAGAGCTTCGGGTTGAATATCAGCTTTAGCTTTTGCCGAGCAGTTGCTCAAGACAACTTATCCGTTTCACTAGGAGATTTCAGTACAACTCCAAGGCCGATGCAGGAAAGAAGGACCAGGAAAACAGCTGAAATGAAATGGGGTTTCATCCATCTTCTTTGAGAACAGAGGAGCTTTTGTGAATCAGAATGTTTTCACGTAAAGCCAATTATTTACAAAGATGATAATAGTCAATGAGCATTAAAATTTATAGATCCAATAAGGGAATGTTTTTATTCTTATCTCAAGGTAATAAAACTTTTTATTTTTAACATTTCGAGTGCCTCCTAGGACCAACTATTACACATTGGATTTTTTGTTTGTGTTTTTGTATATTCTTTTGTTTTCAACGTTACAGAGCTAATGTTGACTGAAATTCTTAAAACTTTGCCACTGTGCAATGAAGTGCTGTTTCTCTACCCTAAGAAATCTATTTGTATAATCTTTGACTGTAATGATCATTTTGAAAGATTTCCCTTGTATCTCTAAAGATTTTTTTTAAATGGAACAAGGCATAAGAGGAATAAATACATTGTAAGCAATGTTAATTTAAGCCTATGTCCCTACAGGTCAAGTAAACCAAACAAACTGTTCCCAGAATTCATGCCTCATAACTTGATATTTTTATGAAGTAGGGAGATGGCCTTATATGTCACTGGGTGGGTTTTCTCCACAAACCAAGTCTAACAATGACCTTCCTGATCCTTTCGTCTTAGCAACCTATGACTGCCCCCATTGCCCCCTACTTTAAAAATGTGTCTTCAGAAGAATCGATGGCTCCCAGATTTCCCAGTGGCTTGTCATATTCCTGTATGACATTTGATGGAATAATAATGGGTTAATTCAAACAAATGTAATGTATGCCCAGATGTACTCCAGCTTGGTCAAGGAAAACATCTCTGGGCTGACAGAAACCCCACACAGGGACTCACACACAAAACCAAGCCCTGAGAAGGGGCTATTCCCCATCCTCTGTCCACGAGGCACTTGTATATTGAGATCTTTCAAGTCAAGAATCCATGCTGAACGACTTGAGTCTCATGGCCCAGCAGTTGTTGGGTAGAAAACAAGAAATATGCCATCGGGTACCCACCAGCCAAAGTATATACTACAATATGCCAGCTGCTCAACGTGCCATTTCAGGTTGGTGTCTCAGCAAAATCATTAGCTCAAGGCCATAGCACTTCAAATATGCCTACATCCTATGAGGCATCATCCTTCAATCCCAAAGGTCTACTGGGATTGACACTGCCAGACCTGCTGTCAGGACCGAATGGCACTGACCCCAGGCCCTAACCCCCAGTGCTGGCCTTCAGAACCTGAATGGTGGGCAGGTTTTGCTGATTAGTAGCCTAAAAGATGGGGAGCCCTTGGCCTCTGAACCTCCGCATGACGACAAGGCAATGCCCAAGCATCCTGTCCTGAGCCATGTTGCCCATGTTAAAAGGCGTCTGTTTTAGAATGGCATACAAGAGCAAGAAAGCCAGGGCCAGCGGGAAATGCCTTTGCCCTTTTATATGTTTAAAGTCTCTTAAGACACCTGCTAATGTAGGGTTCTAAACACACGTGGCTATTCCTACAGGCCTTGGAGGAGAAAGAGGACAGCAAAAGGAAGGCGTTGGACGTGAGACTTGTGATCTGCATTCTCCCTTCGTTCTTTCCCAGACCTGCTGGTGGTGAAGCCTCACTTCCGACAGTGCGTTAGTTCAGTTGCAGGGAACATCGCCGCTCAGCAAGTGTGCTAGGCCCAGGGCTTGTGCTCATTGAGTTCAGTGTGGAGCTGCTGACCTTCCCCTTTGCTTTCTAAAGAAGACAGCCGGTGTGTGTCAGGGGAAGAGCCCAGCAGTCCGTGTTGAAGAGCCGGTGTCGTCCACCTGCTGTTCCCTTTGGAACAGTTCAAGGGCAGGGGTGTCAGATGGAGGTTCAGGGCTTTGTCATTTTTCTTTTTCTAAACACAGGACAATGCCACCTTGGTTTTTCAGACCTGGGACACTGCTTTTGTTGGTGCGGAGTTCCCTCTGGCTGTATCTTCTATGCAATTCCTTTTCTAGAACACCCCTGGCGGTGGAGGAGTGCTCCTGGCACAACCAGCCACGCGGCCCAGCAGAGGTGAGGGCCAGCTCCCCGGTGCCTCTGTTCTCTCTCTGGCTGCCTCTCCCTATTTTCCTGCCGTCCTCTTGGTTTGTAACTTGCCTGCATTTATTCTGTCAGCCTACTTGTACAAAATGTAAGAGAGGATTTTTAAACAGGCAATAAATTATATTTATAAGCTACAGAGAACGCTGTCTCTCATTTCTTCCTAGCAAAGCCCTTCTCCCGGAAGAGCCACAGTGGGCTCCTTGGCGAGGACTCAGAGCTGCTGGTTTCTGCATGGATGGCAGTCACCAGCCCCGCAGGCACAGGGCGAGGTTCCAGAACGTGGCTTTTCACGTTGGAATCACTTGAGTGCCTGGGTCCCATCGCCAGTGATTCTGATTTCACAGTTTGGAGGTAGGGGTGGGGAGGGGAGGGCGTTAGTGTTTGAAGCACCCGAGTGATACTGCTGAGCAGTTGGCTGCGAGAACCAGAGTCTGAATGCTGCTGCATTCAAAGCCCCTGGGAGTTTGTGACTAAGCAGAGGATGAGGGCCTCCCCCCCCCACCCCTACCCCACTCAGAGACCTGATTTTCAATGAGGCATGCAAACCCCGGCACAAGAGGTAGGGATGAAGGTGAGCCAGTCACACAGGACGCCCTGAGCTCCAACAGAAGCCAATCAGGTGTTCACCTTGGTCCCGGACACTGGCCACTCCCTCGGGTGAGCAGGAGAAGGCGCCCAGTGTGTGATGGAAAGCAGCTGAGAGAGGAGGCATGGCAGGAAGGCAGGGCTGTCCTTAGCAAAGAACTCCTGCTACCCCTGGGACAGCATGGGTTTGAACTAAGAGGATCCACTTTTACCTGTGGGGTTTTTCTCAATAAATACTGCATTTTCCCTTTGGATTTTCTGAATAACACTTTCTTTTCTCCAGCTTACTGTACTGTAAGAATACAGTGTACTATACATATCACAGACAGGCTGTCTGGTGGTCCAGAGGCCAGCCTCTCGGCCCCTGAGCCACACAGTGTCCATGTTGATTGGGCCCTCAACGTTGCCCACCACCACCGAGCTGTCAGTTTTCACAGTACAATTCTCACTTCTTCAAACCTCTGACTCCCTATCTTTCTTCTCACTCTCAGCCAATGGCTGTGCCTCCGACTTACAGAGAAAACAGAAGCCATCAGACCATGGCTCCTGCTCTCTAGCCACCAGGTGTGGAAACTTACCCACCTCTCTCTTCATGACTGTCTGTGACACAACGTGATAGCTTCCAAGTCAGAAAAGGGCACAACCATCAGAGAACACACGTGTTCTTGCCAAGGGGAGAATGAAACCGTTTTATTTGGGGGAATGTTCAAACAAAGCCATATACAATTTGTAACAAATACAATACAGTTGTTTGTTCCCTAGTCCTGAATAATTACAGTATATACAAATTCAATAAGGCACTGGTTCCCCAAAAGAACACAATGAGTCTTCTTTTGAAACAGACAACAAAACCCTTTATTGCCAACTCTTCTCCAAAAAAAATATGGCATTGTTTTTTTTTTACTTTGTTTTACAAGAGGAATCATAATTGCTAAATTAAATCACTGCGGATGCCATTTTGTTCATTTCCACTGCTTTGTGACTGAGTTTTTTTTCCAAGGAGATATAACCACAGAACAATTCAAGTTTAAAAACTGTACTTCTTTCAGTGCCTTTCAAACTACAAACATGAAGCGCTAGAACAGACCAGCAACATAAACACTGTAACTTCCAATGACTATGCTTGACTCTAGGAACATGAATTCTGATTGCTATTCGGTCCTTGCTCTATCTGACTACACAACAAATGAAACAAAGAATTCCCTGTAAATAAAACCTTAGCATGTTTTCCAAGATGCTTTGTGTTTTGATACTAAAAAAAGAATGGTCACTAGTTACATGTGAGCGGTGCTTTCCAGGAGGACAAAGGCCTGTCTCTTCACACACAATGTTTGTAGCACTGTTACTTATGATTTAACAATCTACAACGCTTTTATAAATAAATATTATGTTTCATTTAGTACTTTATCATCTCTAATATTTTACTCTCTAATCCACAAAAATGGAGTTGTGCCAGACTCCAAACTGAACAAAATATTTATATAAACATATATATTTATATAATATATATACACATAATAAACTATAAACCTGAACATCTTAGCATACAAAACTTATATTAGCTAGCAACTAATATTTTAGGATTCCTTTTAGGGGAGCAACTATAAGAAAATCTTAGTCTTTGAAATAGTCCTGATAATAGGAAATCATCTACGTTATTACTTTCCAGGTCCCCACTTATTCTACAGAAAGGTGAAATGAAAAATAAAATAAAATACAATTCACTTCCTCTGAGCTACTAGAATTTTAAAAATAAAAAAGGATTATTTGGAAGTAAGTAGGTAGTCTCTTTAAGAACAATTTAGGGTTCTCTAAGTAAGGTGAATTTTGTGAAGACAAAAACATCTATTCATAAATAAATGCTTGTTGCATTGAAAGACTATACTAACTAAATAAGTCTTTTGAAGTATCTCAGGAACAATTTTTAGATGTTCATCATGAGTAAATCAAATTAAGAATTAGAAAGCTACTGATTTTTCCAAAGCAACTAAACAAATAATATAGAAGCTTCTTGCCATTCTTCATTGGAAGCAACACCTCCCTAGAAATCTAGTTTTCTTTCAAATCATCACTTCACCACAAAATATTCTGATTTGCAGTTATCATGTATAAAAACTTACCTAAAAGAGCACACATTTTTTATCTAAGAAGTCCAACCTCACTTAAATTTAGGGGGAAAAATCAAGAAACAGAAACATGTCCCCAGTTATGGGCAAAAATGTTGACTTGTTTGTAGATGATCTGATTAGAGGTAATGAAGTTTCTCTCCAAGGCTCAGATGAGTATCACACACTTAGTTCTAGCCACATGTTCCTTCTAAGCTATCACAAAGAATACAATTTGACACAAGAGAAAGGAACAGTTACATTGCCGTTCAGGTTATTCTAATAACACCAAAAGCAGCATTCTGATTGAAATTCTACTTGGAGCCCACTGTTTTTAATCTTTGTAAAAAAACAAATTTTGTTCATATTCAAGAATTTTTAAAAAAAAACCCACTTATGTCTTTGTTATAATACAAACAAAATGTGGCCATGAAGCATGGGGAAGTCAAAGCTGAATACAGAACACCGTGTTTCTTAGGATGCTCTGAGCCTGTGAGCGCAGCTCACAATCACTCTCTGCTCGAGGGTGTTTTTTGAATGAACAAGTTGCCAGCTGCACACCTACTTCAGAAGTGAGGAGAATACTTCCTCATTTTTCATGCCCCTGTCAAAATCTCAAAAAACTTCCATTCTTCAATCACCAAGTGGTGCAATTGTGTTATAAAACACTGCCCTCTGCAGGATTCTGGAAGGAATGCCTTTTATTTATTTTACTTTTTTAAGACTAGGGAGAAAGTATTTCCTGATTCCTTATTAAATTACAGAATTTCTAAGAAGTAAAAGAAAGCCATGGTAAGAACATGTAAATGAATAAAGGTGAGGGCCATGTGTACAACTTTGAAGTTGATGTTCCTGTTGCTCAGGAATGTTGGGCCTGTCCATGATTGGACTCACATGTCTCAATAGTGGAAACTCTGCAGAATTAAGTGGGTGAAGAGATGGTTTACACAAGTGCCACAGAGAATACAAAAATAATAAATTAAAAAGTGAACTGAACATAATGAGAATAAAATAAAATAGAGGCAGCACGCCTAACAATATGAAATGACCACTTAAATGATGCACATGCTAGATCCATATCTATACTAGAAAAATAAATCACAGCAGCCTGAATATTTTCGTGGCTTCCACTAACTCTCCTCTGTGTGTCCCATTTGGAGGACATAGTTGTCTATTTTTAAATTAAAATTTAGTTACATTAACCTGACCTATGCTTCCTCTCCTTCCCTTAAGTCAGACCCCAGAGACAGACAATGAAAAGAAAATGGCTTTATCTACAATACAGAGTAAGGTGTGCATCATTTACCCTCGTGCTTCTGAGATCGGCTCTTCTGCATACGTAGGAAGCAAGCCACATGCACCTACCACCGCATTCTCTGCCTTACCAACACGTCATCTCACAACACAAGAGCCCATGATCTCCGTTTTAAAAAGGTGTGGCCATCACCTTGGCTGAAGGCAATTTCATTGACTATTGATCCTTTCCTTTGAGAAATCAAAAGCATGCAGCGGTCAGTTCTCTGCACATAAAAAAAAAAGAAAAAAAAAAAAAAAGAATCTTTGCTTGTGTTCAATGAAAAGGAAGAGATCTGACCGTGAACGAGAGGCCTTACAGAATCAGAAACACAACGTGGTCCTGATGAACACTGACACTTCTAACAGAAGAAGCACACAAAAGCTTCATTTGTTCCATATCCTCCAAAGCTGCAAAAGGTCACCTGCAGGAATCCCCAAACGGATGCCGGACAGGCGGGATGTGTGCCCAGGTGCATTCACATTGCTGTGGCAGCCCCCACGCAGGGCTGGCCGAGTGGTCACAGCAGGCAGGGGCGGGCTTCTCAGACAGTCCCACTCTGTGGTCTCCAACCTCACAGACTGTCTGTTGGTTTGTAGAGTGCAACAACATTTTACCCATAATAATAATAATAAAAAAATGATTTTAATTTCCTTTCTAGCAGAATTTCTGCAAAGAACTCTCATTGTTATTATTTAAACCAGAATAGGAACAACCTTCAAACATCTAAATTCTTTGTTATATTTTGGCAAAACTAAAGCATCTTTTGAAAAAGAAAAAAAAAAAAAAGGAGGGGTGGTGGGGGGCAATCCCAAAATACAGGGCTTTCTTAGAAAGCAACATGCACCATGTCTCAAACAAGTTACCAGAACGGTTTCAACCTCCTCCAGACACAATAGGTCCCTGCTTCTGGGAACGTCTGCCTTTGTCCACGGTGCTCCCCAAGTGGTGACACTGAACCCCTGGGAAGCGGGGCTGTTTGACGCTTGCCCTATGGATGCTTCGGGAACATTTTCTACTCTGCCACAGAGAGGAAGAGCTGGCTTTCTCCATGATGCTTTCTTTTCCTCTTTTCTTTTTCTTTCCTTTTCTTTTCTTTTCTTTTCTTTTCTTTTCTTTTCTCTTCTTTTCCTTTCTTTTCTCTTCTTTTCCTTTCCTTCGTTTCCCCCCCTCAAATCAAAGTTTAATGTCCTGGGACTCTGACATTTTGGCGAGTGTTTTCTTCACACGCAGGGCTGTCAGTCTGGATGCGGGGTTGTGAGCCCAGCACTCGGTCATGAGTTTCCCCATCTGCCTCAGACACTGCAGGGAGAGAAACAGAAAAGTGGAAGTGGCATTAGAGACATGTATTTATTATGTGCCAGGCTGGCCCTTGGTATTTGGCTTTTGACTTTGAGTTTCTGGGGTTTAGATATATTTTCAATAGCTCCTTTTAAAACCATGTAGACAACAGTTCAGAACACTTCGTTTTTTCATGCAAATTTTCAATGACTAAGATGGATTTTCATAATATCCCTCTAATAGGTGCAAACAAGTGGTTCTGCTGATTGAAGAAGAGTGTCTTTAAAGTCAGTATTAAATAAATACAAAAATACGAAGAAAGTCTGTATTCCACTCCCCACTCCTGGTTTGTTTACAACATTTGATCAGCTTAAATCTTTTATCTCATTCCATACTATTCAAACAAACACGGTTATTCCTAAGTCGCAGCTGTCTGCTACAATAAAAGCATCACACTGTTGCTTTTAACAAGATGCATGACCTGTGCTGGGCCTCGCTAAAACTTTCTCCGACATCAATTATTCGTCTTCCTATTGAAAGCACAATTTCACTTCGTTAGGAATCCTCAGTGAAGGAATCTGGGGTAATAACAGTGCCTGTAACCAGCTTCAAAGTAAGGTAACTTCAGCATCTCATAAAGCTTTCTGCATAGCTCATTGGAAAACATGTGTATTATCTAGCATACAACCAATGAGCCATAGGTTGTTTTTAAATGCATTTAATGGTGAAGAATTATTTCATAAACAGTGTTCTTCCCACATGTTTGCCCTGGCTCTGGTACATGTCTGAGGCTCAAGCATCTCTGAATGTGCCAGCTTGCCAGAGTGCTCCAGGATTTAGTGAGAGAACAAGCTTAGAGGTTGGATGGAGAGGATGTGGAGCAGATGAGTCAGGAAAGGTAAGCCCCAACCCCACTCAGTTCCTCCTTATGCACAGCTTCTTTGACGACCTGTTTTAGGTTTCACCACTGTACCCCGACGGCCTCGTTGCACATGGATTCCTTCAAATCACATCTCAGCATCCTTATTAACAAAGATCCACAGCAACTCATCTAGGTCAACTTGTAGCACTTCTATGTATAGGAAATGGCATTTTTCAGATGCCTATCTTTTCTCTCATCAAAATGTGAGAATGTGGCACATGGGTTCTTCATGGAGAAAAACTCATAATGCTTTAAAATACACACACACACACACACACACACACACACACACACACACACGGGGAAAAATGGCAGCTGAATAGGCAGACATGTCCTGCACCCTGTCCTGGAGTAGAGAGAGCAACTGAATCGAATAACATCCACCTTGAAATGGCAAATTAGACACAGCTTGTGAGATAATTCACAGCCGGGAAGGGCAGAGGAGGCCCGGAGAACGGCAGAATGGGGGATCTGGCTGGAGAGAGATGTGTGACCACTGGGCCAAGAGGGTCAGAAGGAAGCTGCACTGCACCAAGTCCACATCCATTTGGGGAGAGGTGTCACATCCGACTGTGGAAAGGAAGTCCAGAGGGATGCTATGCTGGCAGCCGTGGAATCTAGATCTAAATCCACAGCCACGAGGGGCTGCGCCCAGAAGGGCGACCTGAGCCGCTGGGTGTAAGGGGGAGAGAAACTGGCAGTCACAAGGTTGTTTTGCCTGTTTTGTCTTTGCTTTAGTTTGCTAAACCCCGTTCATGGGACTTTCAATTGCACTCACCCAAGGCTGTGATGCAGGTAGAGGTGCAGATTTGTGGAGTCTGGGGAGAGTTGGTGGAGGAGAACAGGGCAGGGACAGGTGACCAGGAGTCTGGCACCTAGACATTTGTGACCCTCCAAACCTAAGCAGCCATTTTTCTCCTGGAGAGCCAGCCTCTCCCAGCTGCCTCAAGACAGCCAATACAGCCACACCCAGCCTACACTTTGAGCTGTACAAAGGAAATAAAGACTGAAGAGCCCCGCAGAGCCCTCAGGGACTGGGTTAAACAGGGGTTGTTCAGTACCAGATAGCGGTATAGCACCACCCCCACCTAAAGCCCTGTCAGAAACAGATGCTTGAGTGATTAAGATTGACAGCAGGCAGACAGGCAAAGCTGGCAGATCGGTCCCTCCTGCTTACAGCCAAGGCTGTGGAGATAGAAACAAACAGAGGAGTGAACGATCACTTGGAACTGCAACACGATGCTAACTACATAACAGGAAACTGAAAAGTGGTAGAACAGAAGAATGGTGTCTTAAACCAGCCCCTATGGGGCAATAAAACTAGACTGAAGTGAATAGCACTTCACTTTTTTTATTTTTTATCTTTTATTTGAAAAATACATATATTTTTTCTTTTTATATATATTTTGTTTTTTTTTATCTTTTTTTGTATTATTTTTTTTCTTCACTCTATTTTTATTTTATCTTATTTTTTTATTTTTTTCACCTTTTACTCCTTAATTCTTCCCTTTACATCCTGTTTTCTCTTCTTCTGTCCTCACTTTATTTTTTCTCTTTCTTTTCTTTTTATCCCTTGTTAAAAATTGATCTTCTTTATCTGCTTTAATGAAGTGTTATTATTACTGTAGTCTCTGTTGGCTTACTCATATATCTAATTTCCTCTCCCCTATTACAAGCCCATGCATTCTTTTCTTTGCTAGTCAGTTTTTTATGCTTTTGTTTTTCTTCTCCTCTCTTGCTCTCTACTTCTCCTAAGAGTTTAATTAGTTTCAGTCACTCAAACCTATCTGCAACCTCCTCTATTCTCCTTTTCCAAAAATAAATGAATAAATAAAGTTAAATTTAAAAATTTTGTTTAATCTATCATCTATCATCTATCTATCTATCTATCTATCTATCTATCTATCTATCTATTTTTATTTTCCTCTTATCCACCCATCCTCTTTATATATTCTCTAGACTGAATGGTGGTCCTTCCCCTATTGATTCAATGCCTTAACCTTACTTTCTGTATATAAGTTCTGCCTCTATAGATTTGTACCCAACTTTTTATGGGTGTTTACAGTTTGCATTTTTTTTTGGTTTATTTGTTTGTTATGTTATGTTTCTCCCCATATACACCTTTTACTGTTTTTTCATTTCTCTCTTACCTTTTTTCAATATTATTTTTGCTCTCTTTTCTCTCTCCTAATTATCTTTTCTCTGATGGTCACTTTTATTGGGGTTATTGGTGCCGTGAGTGCATTCATGTTTTGTTCCCTTTGTGTTGTGTCTTGTAAAGTTGTTTTATGTGCTGTTTAGCCAACATGATAGAGAGTGAGCCACATAACCAGTCACCCTGAGAGGAGAATCCATCCACAATGGGACAATAACACTCAAGACCCAACTATACCAAGAGAACACAAATATCCCAAGTAGGAGGTATCTCTAGAATACCCAGTCCAGAAAACCCAAGAGATTGCACCAATGGGTCCCACAAAATGTCTCCTACATAAGACAAATACAAAAAAATCTAAGTGGCATTGCAGTTTGAGCTAATACATATAAACAATCACAAAAGAACAGCAAAAAAATGGGGAGACAAAGAAACAACCCCAATATGAAAGAAAAGGAGGAATCTTCAGAAAAAAAAACAAACAAAATGGAGGCAAGAAATGTGTCAGAGAAATAATTAAGAGCAATGGTAATAAGGATGCTGAAAAGGATGAAAGACAAATTCAACATGTGTGAGAATCAAGAGGAAATGAAGAATGACATAGCTGTAATAAAGAACACAATGGAAAGTTTCAACAGTAAACAAGAAGCTGAGGACTGCAACAGCATGTTGCAAAACAAGGCACACAAAAAAACAACACACCAAAGCAAAGCAGCAACTGGAAAAGAAAAAAAACACAAAACATAAAGAGCAGGAGGAAAGTCTAAGAAAGCTTTGGTATGACATGAAACAACATGAAACAAAACAATGTCCACATAATAGAAGTGCCAGAAGGAGACAAAACTAAGCAAGGAAAAGAAAATCTGTTTGAAGAAATAATGACAGAAAACTTCTTTGATTTGGGGAAGAAAAAAGTCACATAAGTCCAAGAAGCATACAGAGTCTCAAACAAGATAAACCCCAACAGTCTGACACAAAGACACATCATAATTAAGTTGACAAACACCAATGACAAAGTAAGAATCTTAAAGGCTTCCAGAAAGATAGAAAATTACCTACAAGCAATCTCCCATTAGACTATTAACTGATTTCTCAATAGGAACACATCAGGACAGAAGGAAATGGAATGAAATATTCAAAGTGATGCAAAGCATTCTATACCCATTCAAAATGGAAAGTGAAATAAGGGGCTTCACAGAAAAAAAAAAAAAATTCCTAAGAGAGTTCATTACCACCAAGCCAGCAATGCAAGAAATGCTAAAGAAACTGTTGCAAAAAGAATAAATAGAAAGCGAAAAAGGAAGACAGGAATAAAGAATAAAAATGGCAAAAAACAAAAGCAAAAACAAAAACAAAAAACAAGTACCTATCAATAATTACCTTAAATGTAAATGGATTAAATGTCCCAATCAAAAGATGTAGAGTAGCTGAATGGATAAGAAAACATGACCCATGTATTTGCTTTCTAAAAGAAACCTACCTCTGAACAAAGGACTTGCTTAGGCTGATAATAAAGGGATGGGGGAAAAATTTCAGGCGAATGGAAATGAAATAAAACCTGGGGTAGCAATACTTATAGCTGACAAAATTGACCTCAAAGTAAAGACCATAATAAGAGATAAGGAGGGCCACTTCATAAAACTAAAGGTAGCAATTTAACAAGTTAACATTTCAACAGTAGATAAGAAGCTGAGACTGCAACATAAAAAAAACCTTCTGGAAGATTTCAAGGGAGAGATCAACAGCAATACAATCATATAATAGTGGACTTTAATACCCCATTGACACCACTGGATAAATCCTCTAAACAAAAAATTAGCAAAGAAATAGCAATCCTAAATTACTCACTAGATCAGATAGAATTAATTGACATCTTCAGAATATTTCACCCTAAAAGTTGAATATACATTCCTCTCAAGTGCACATGGTACATTTTCGAAGATAAACCACATATTAGGACACAGGCAAAGTCTCTTAAAATTCAAGAAGATAGAAACATATCAAGCATCTTTCCAGACCACACTGGCATGAAATTATAAATAAACTATTGATACAATAAAAAAATCAAATACTTGGAGGCCAAATAGCATGCTATTAAGCAATGCTTGGTTTAACAAAGAAATCAAAGAAGAAATAAAAAGCATCCTGGTAACAAATGACAATGAAAACACAACAACCCCAAATCTATGTGACATAGTGAAAGCAGTCCTGACAGGGAAGTTCATAGTTCTACAGGCCTATCTCAAAAAAACAAGAAAAATGGTAATAAATTATGTAACCCTACAACTTAAAGAATTAGAAAGAGAGGAACAAGAAAAGTCCAAAGTGAGCATAAGGAAGGAAATAATAAAGATCAGAGCGGAAATAAACAACATGGAGACCAAAACACAATACAAAAGATCAATAAAATCAAGAGCTGGTTCTTTGAAAGGATAAATATGATTGATGAACCTCTAGCCAAGCTCACCAAGAAACAAAGAGAGAGGACCCAAATAAACAAAATCAGAAAGGAAAGAGATGAAGTAACAACTAACCCCACAGACATAAAAAAAAAATTTGTAAAAAAATACTATGAAAAACTCTACTCCAACAAACTGGACAACCTAGGTGAAATAAACATGTTCCTAGAAAAATACAATCTTCCCAAACTCAGTCAGAAAGAATAAAAAAAACTTGAAATAGGTGAATAACAGTTTTCCAATACTGATGAAATTGAAGCAGTAATCCAAAAACTTTCAGAAAACAAAAGTCCTTGGTCTAGAAGTCTTCACAGAGAGTTTTACCAAACATTCAAAGAACTAAAACCTATCCTCAGACTTTTCCAAAAAATTCAAGAGGAAGGCACACTTCTAAACTCTTTCTATGAAGCCAGCATAACCCTAATCCCAAAACCAGATAAAGACACTACAAAGAAAGAGAATTACAGGCCAATATTCCTCATGGACATAGATGCTAAAATCCTCAACAAAATTCTAGCAAATCTGATCCAGGATTACATTAGAAAGATCATGCACCATGGCCAAGTGGGATTTATCCAGGGATGCATGGATGGAACAATATCCAAAAATCAATAAACACAATACATCACATAAATTGAGAGACAAAAAATCACATAGTCTTATCAGTTGATGCAGAAAAAGCTTTTGACAAAACCCAACACCCTTTCTTGATAAAAACTCTCAGAAAAATGGGAATAGAGGGATCATACCTCAACATAATAAAAGCCTTATATGACAAACCTACAGCCAATATCATACTCAATGGGCAAAAACTAAAACCATTTCCCTTAAGAACAGGAACAAGACAGGGATGCCCAATTTCACCATTCCTGTTTGACATAGTACTAGAAGAACTAGCCATAGTGACCAGATAAGAAGAAGAAATAAAAGACATCCAAATTGGAAAGGAAGAGTTATACTGTCATTATTCACAGATGAAATGATATTATACTTAGAAAACCCTAAGGATTCCATTAAAAAACTACTAAACTTAATATATTAATCTGGCAATGTAGCAGGATACAAAATTAACACCTAGACATCTATGGCCTTCATTATATTCCAATAATGAATTCACAGAAAGAGAAACTAAAATAAAACTCATTACCATTGAAACAAAAAAAAATTAAGATACCTAGGAATAAACTTAACTAAGGAGGTAAAAGACATGTACTTGGAAATCTATAGGACATTGAAAAAGGAGATAGAAGAAGAAATAAACAAATGGAAGAAAATACCATGTTCATGGATTGGTAGAATCAACATCATTAAAATGTCCATACTACCCAAAGCAACCTACAGATTCAATAAACTCCCCATTAAAATACCAGTGGCATATTTCATAGCCCTAGGACAAATTCTCCAAAAATTCATATGGAATAAAAGTAAGTAAATACATAAATAAACCGGAATAGCTGCATCAATCCTAAAAAAAAAAAAGAAGGAACAAAGTTAGAGGGGTCACAATACTAGATATCAAAGCCACTGTCTTCAAAACTGCCTGGTACTGTTACTGGCATGAGAACAGACATATAGAGCAATGGAACAGAATGGAGAACCCAGAAATCAACACAAGCCATTATAAATTACTATTTGACAAAGGAGCAAGAGCATACAATTGACAAAAATAAGTACTGATGAAATAGTCTCTTCAATATATGGTGCTGAGAAAACTGGACAGATACATGGAAAATCATGAAACTTATACCATAGACAAAAATAAACTTAAAATGGATAAAGGAGTTAATCATAAGATGGGAAACCACAAAAATCTTAGAAGAATTCATAGGCAGAAATATCAGAAATATATCATAGCAATATCTTTACTGATATAGCTCCTAGGACAATGAAAACTAGGGAGAAAAATAAACAAATGGGATTATGTAAAAATAAAAAGCTTCTGCACAACAAAAGAAACAATCAACAAAATATCAAGAAAGCTCTCTGCATGGGAGAACATATTTACCAATATTATACCGTATTTTTCGGACCATAAGACGCACCGGACCATAAGACGCACCAGTTTTTAGAGAAGGGAAATGAATAAAAAAAGATTCTGAAACAAATAGTGTCCTAAAATATTTTATGTGCATTAAAACCCAACATCACAGTCATAAACACATGTAATCAACCCTGTAAAGTAAACAGCAGCATTTAGAACCATTTTAGAGCCGGGCAAGCACACAGAGACCACACAGAGCCGGGCAAGTAAAAAAACTTTTTTTTTAAAGTATATGTGTAGGCTATATTTGGACCATAAGACGCAGGGACTTTTCCCCCCCACTTCTGGGGGGAAAAATACGGTACCTGATAAGGGTTTAATCTCCAAAATTTACAGGGAACTCATACAACTTATAGTAACAAAAGGAAGATAAACATTCCATCAAAAAATGGTCAAAGGACCTAAATAGATACTTTTTGAAAGAAGATAAAAAGATGGACATAGGCCATGAAACACATAAAAGCACGCTCAAAAGTCACTAATCATCTGAAAGATGCCAATCAAAACAACAATGAGGTACCATCTCACACCTGTCAGAATAGCAATCATCAACAATTCAACAAATGACAAGTGCTGGTGAGGATGTGAAGAAAAAGGAACCCTCATGAACTGCTGGTGGGAATGCAGACTGGTGCAATCACTGTTGAAAACAGTATGGAGTTTCCTCAAAAAATTAAAAATGGAACTCCCATTTGACCCAGTAACTCCACTTTTAGGAATATATCCCAAGAAATCAGAAACACCAATCAGAAAGGATATATATGCACCCCTATGTTCATAGCAGCACAATTCACCATAACTAAGATTTGGAAATAGCCTAAGTGCCATTAGCAGATGAGTGGATTTAAAAACAGTGGTACCTCTACACAATGGAATACTACCTTGCTGTAAAAAAAAAGAAGGAACTCTTACCATTCGCAACAGCATGGATCAACTTGGAGAGCATCATGCTATGCGAAATAAGTCAGTTGGATAAAGATAAATATCACATTTTCTCACTCATTTGTGGAATATAATGAACAACATAAACTAATGAACAAAAATAGGTCTAGAGACATAGAATCATTGAATAAACTGTAGAACTTCAGGAAGACAGGGAAGGTGGGGGAAGGTTGGTCAACCAAAGGACTTGTATGCATGCATATAAGCATAATCCATAGGCACAGACACTAGAGGTGTGAGGCATGTGCTTGGTGTGGGAATGGCTGGGGAGAGATCAATAGGGGGGAAAGGAGACATATATAATACTTTAAACCAGTGGTTCAAACTTTCTAATGCTGCCATCCTTTAGTACAGTTCCTCATGTTGTGGTGACCCCCAAGGATAAAATTATTTTCATTGCTACTTTGTAACTGTAATTTTGATACTGTTAATAAATCATAATGTAAATATCTGTGTTTTCCGATGGTCTTAGGCTCTACAGCAGTGGTTTACAACCTGTGGGAATCACTGCTTTAAAGAATAAAAAAATTTTAAAACTAAAAACTAAATATATACACATACACACACACACACACACATACACACAGAAATGGGGCCTTTATGCCATTGTTAGGACATCACAAATAAATGAAATAGTAATGTTATCTGTTATGATTGCTAAATGTTAACCTACTAAATATATTTTGGAAGCAGTAAAATCAAGTTAGGAAAAAAGGATCAATTTACCACATTATACTTAACACCGTAGAAATTATCACAGTGAGGCATCACTACTATCACCGACAGAGCAAAGAAGAAGAAGAACTCCTTCAATGAATATTTAGAATTTTGACAAAAAAGTAAAAGTTCTATAGCGCATGGCTTCCTGGAACTCACTTACCTCATCGCCACTCCACCGGCTGGGGAATGACGGACGGAGCTTCTTGATGCACACAATCTCCCTCATGTCCTCGTAAGAGGGGTCACTGGGCACCAGGTCGTGGTAGGGAAGCTGGTATTCCTCCACTGCACCTGAAAATATGGCTATATTGTTATACTTTTCTCTGTGCAATGGCAATAAAAGTCTACCATACAAACTGTTCTAAAATAAAAATCCTGTTGGTACTAAAGACAAGCTTGAAAAACAGCAAAAAAAAAATCTTAAAGTAAAAGTTCCCCAATGACATTTAATCTAATTTTTAAATGAAAATCCCAATAAAACATATTACTGTAGGCCTTCAAACCTTTTCTTCTAATTTCCAAAAGCTAAGTAAAATAAGCACCTCAAATTTATTTCCAATTTTACAAAGGTTCTTGTATGCCAAAATTTTTAAAAAATCTATATTAAATCTCCATGCAAATTTGGCAGACACATTCCAAATTCATACATATGTGATAATTTCTATTACTGCAATATGAGGTTATGAATCTCATAATAAATTTGGCAGTGTATACTACTTGAATAAAATGTCACATTTACATTTTTTCTGCTTAATCATAAGAATGCATTCTTCCATATTTAAAATTTAGAGAATTGTACACACCTAAAAATATTAAACCTTGATTGGCAACTTTCTGGCCTTTACTGGGAACAATCCTGTGACCTGGGCATGTGCCCTGACCAGGAAATGAACCAGCAACCACTTGGTGCATGGGACAACACCCAAGAAATTGAAACATGCTGGCTAGGGTACCCTCGGTTGTTTTTAAGCTAAGAATCATTTTGCCCATATTATAACCACAGGCCTTCAAATATAGGCTTCTTGTTGCCCGAATTGCTTTAGATGTTTAGGGAAACATAATTTGAAAAGTAATCTTATATTCTCCTCTTTCTTCAATCTCTATAAACTTATCTCTCTATATATAAAAGCCTAAGCGACCGTTATGACTAGTTGACTGAACAAGCAGTCAACTGGTCACTATGACATACACTGACCACCAGGGGTCAGACGCTCAATGCAGGAGCTGACACCTTGTGACAGTATGCTCCCACAGCCAAATTCCTACAGCTGGCCAATTTCCCTCAGTCCCTACCCTTAGGTGGCCAGGTGGTCAACTTCCCATGGTCCCTCCCCCTGGCCAGCCAACCTCTTGCAGTCCTTCCCTCTGGCTGGCCCCAATTGGGCAAAATGGCCCAAATCAGCCCCAATTGCCAGCCAGGCCAATGGACCTCACCCGTGCATGAATTCGTGCATCAGGCCTCTAGTCTTAAATAATTATAAACATTTCATTCAAAAACATGCTCACTTACACTTTACAAAACATAAAATCAAAGCATAGGCAGTTAGTTAATTTATGTTTTGGTTATTCCTTTTCTTCTTCATAATATGATGGGAGATTTATTCAATATCTGAATCGGAAAAAAAATGTTCTACATTACCTTCCCTTTGGGACAAAAAGAGTTCTTTCACTTCAGGGGGGATGTGCTCTATTTTAACTTAAGCTAATGAGAAGTTCAGAATCCCTATAGTGATTAAGAGGTACCACATCACTGCAGATGATCTTCCTACCGCAGTATGAATGCCTATTGATTAACTGTTTCTCCTTTATATTCCAATAGGATCCTAAATGTAAGTTAAGGCTCTACCAACCAAAATGAAAATTTAAAGTAACATATATTAAGTACTATTTATGGGTCAGGCAATGTTAATTCTCTTTACAATCATGAAAACCTCACAACCCTCTGAGGTAGTGCAATAATCCATCTCCCTCTTAAGAAAACTGAAACAAAGAAAAGTTAGGAACTTAGCAAAGGTTTACAGATACAAGTGCCAGGACTAGTTAACTGTAGGCTACACTTTCAGAATATTGGGCAAGCTCCAGTTTTCATGAAGGTGAGTTTAACTCACTTCCATCAAGAGGAAGAACTGCAGTACCAGGATTTACTTATCAAGCACAACCATGAGTAGAATCGTTAACAATGTACTTGATACCGAAGAGCCTGAGACTCAGCTCATCGCCTGAAAGGTACTAGAAGCTACTCAAAGACAAATTATGCAGCAGTAGGCACAATGCTACAAGCAATAATAATACCTCTGAATATTTAAGGATGTCTCCTTAGTCTTAACTAGGAAAACTCTGCTTGCAAAAAGATTACCAGGACTAAATAATATTCTTATGCTTTAATTTTGTTTTGATAAAAACTAATGTTTTCAAATTGCTTCATGAGGAAGTATTGTAGAAAGTTAAGAAGTAGGGGGTGGGAGGGTAAATAATAAGTGTCCCATGCCACAGTTATGTCTTTTCATCTGAGCATAGGAAGCCACAGGAAATGGGTCACTAGAGTTGAACAGGGGGCCCAGCAGATTGTTAAGAAGAAGCTGGAAGGGTAGAGAAGGAGGTTACCTTGATAAAGCAATGGCAGGAGAAAGAGCTCAAGAGGGAAGTGAGACAAAACATAAAATAGAACTGGGTGATCTTTGAAGAGACAGAGAAGGTTGACAATGAGCCGAGAAGAGATGCCTCAGCCATAGGTGGAGAGAAGAATGCAAAGATAACTCTATGATGTGAAATATTATTTCCTGAAAGGATCATGACTGGGTCAACAGAAATAAAGGACAAAATTTGATTTTCTAGACAAAACTTGGATTTTTGATCAGAAAAAAAGGATTTGGCCCTAGATGATTTTGCTCAGTGGATAGAGCATTGGCCTGCAGAACAAAGGGCCCCAGGTTCAATTCCAGTCAAGGGCACATACCTCCAATACAGGCTCCTCCAGGCCTGTATCAGGGTGCGTGTGGGAGGCAACCAGTTGATGTGTTTCTCTCATATTGATGTTTCTATGTCCCTATCTCATCCACTCTCTCTAAGAAAATCAATGGAAAAATATCCTCAAGTGAGGATTTAAAAAGAGAGAGAGAGTAAAAAAGGATCTGAGTAGGCCAATGTTGCCACTGGTACTTACCTCCTGATACGCATCTCCTAGTCACCTCCCAAAGAATGAGCCCAAAACTGTACATATCGGCCATGATGTAAGACTGAAAGTGATTTCTATTCAAGCTCTCATCCAACACTTCTGGAGGCATATAGCGTTTGGTGCCAACACGTGTGTTGGGTGGTATGTCAACTTCATTTGTGTCGCTAAGGAAAAATAAAGCAGAGCACCGTCAGCATTGAAGAGAACCAAGTGTTGAGTCAAGGTGATTCCTGAGCCAGGGCTTTAGTGGAAGATGGGAAAAGGTATCCCTTCATGGAGAACCATTTCCTGGAAAGATATTTCTGGCCAAGAGTTATATTAAATATTCACAGGTGAAAACACAATGAAGATGACAATCAAAATAGAAGATTATATTAATACATTACCACTCGATCAAATATAAACTCTACATAATTGCTAAACATTAACTAAACACTTTTTAAAAAAATTGTCCTGTCCTTCATATTTCAATAACTTTCTTTTTAAAAATGGACTGTGCAATACAAAATTGGATTATGTGAGGCAGTATTTTTTAAGTCAAATGCTTTGAGGGTTTTAGATAGCCAAACAAGTAAAAAAGGGAAGAGGGAGAGAAAACCAACAAAAACTTATAAATGTTTTACTTTGATAAGGAGGGACATAAAAAAGCTTTCTACTATCACATTTTATGAATCAAATAGCATATATTTGTAATAAAAGGATATATATATATATGTTTTATTGATTTTTTACAGAGAGGAAAGAAGAGGGATAGAGAGCTAGAAACATCGATGAGAGAGAAACATCGACCAGCTGCCTCCTGCACACCCCCCACCGGGGATATGCAGGCAACCAAGGTACATGCCCTTGACCGGAATCAAACCCGGGACTCTTGAGTCGCAGGCCGCCGCTCTATCCACTGAGCCAAACCAGCAAAAGGATATATTTTTAATAACATATATATAAGAGAGTAAGGGACCATCCAACCATCTAATACCTATGATACGTACTGACCACCAGGGGGCAGATGCTCAATGTGGAGCTGCCGAGCTGTAGTGACTTGGCAGCTGTGGTTCCAGGGTGCATCACCCAAGAACCAGAGAGGAGGGAGCCAGATTCCTTGCAGGGACCCTCAAGGGGCAATCCAATCCCACCTTCCACCATGCGTATGTTGCTGCTGGAGCACTGTCGGCCCAGAATCTGGTTTACTGCACACTTGCATTTGAGTTCCACACCCTGTACCACAGCAACTTTGCAGAGTGCCCTCCCTCAGCACTCCAGGACCCCTTGAGGGTCAAAGAGCCAATTTCAGCCTGATCCCTGCAAGCCAGGCCAAGGGACTCCACCTGCCAGAGGGACCCCGCTTACTCTGCAAATACCCTTTGAGCCAAGGTGCTACCCTAGGTGTTGCCAGGCTGGAGAGGGACCACGGGAGGTTGGCTCCAGGGCATGTCTGGCACATCTCCCCCAGTCCTGCTCTGCTGGCCACCACCCGGGACCGCCTGCATTAGTCCCTGCACTGGAGCCAAAAGACCCGAGCGTGAGTTTTCTTCCTTTTTCTGGCCTCTCCTCTGATGCCCTTTGAGCTGCAGCCGGCCCAGGAATTCTAAATAATTTCCTTTCATGGTTCACAAATCTGTGCACCGGGCCACTAGTTGAATATAATACCTTTATGAAAATTTCCCAACATGACCCACTTGTAATTCTTTCTACAGACTGGGAGGAAACTTGTGATGAATGGACCCCCTGTCTTCAGGCTGGATCTGGAGAACCACTGGGAGTGGGAGCCGCAGTTCTGCACCCCCCCACCCCCCCGTGTTTCAAAGTGGTTGAACTACCACTGCCTGATAGGTTGATGATTAAAGGAGACATGGAACACTGCTGCCAGCACAGGGGTATGCACATAGTAGGTTTAACAAGAGCTACCTCAATAGAAATGAATGGAACTAGGAAGAAGACTAGTAAACCCTAGTGCTGATGGGTGAAGAAACCACAAAACAGGAAAAGGAACAAAAATTCATTAAATTGAAGTCTGGAGGACGTCTTTGATAAACTTTCCTATTTCCTGATTCCCAAGAAAGTGTCTGTGTGTTTTTATTCTGTTTCTTTTCATCACACTCCACTGACTCTGAAGCACTGACATGTTATTTCTCCTCAACACTGAAAAGTTAGAAATGTGGGACATCACCTTTATCTTGTGGAGTCACAGGCAATGTCAGGCTTTCACTAGTGGCTTTTTTTTTTTTTGAGGGGGGGGGGAGGGTTTCTTGGCTTGATTTTACTGCCTCAAGCTCTGTCTTCCAAACATAAAATATGTTGTGACTTTGGGAGAATTTAAAGGGTAGCAAATGCCCCTCTGTAGATCTTAAAACTGTGTACAGCTGCTAAACTTATAAACTCAAAGCTTCTTTCTCGGAACCTTTTAAAATTCACTGCCAGCTAAAATCCGTACTCTAAAGTTACCACAGCAGAAATGGCACAAGGGTACCCATAGGCCCTTTGTGATCTCCCAGGAGTTGTGACTGAGGGAGTCTATTTTCCTAAAATAAAAGTTAAAGCATAAATTTATAACACTGAAAAAAAACTAAATAGCTAGTATTGCTTATCATCTGTAAATGTAAGTCTTAGTGTTCTGGCTTCTTTTCTGTCTAGAAAAAGAAATTAAAACATAAATTCTTAGTATTTACCCACATGGTATAATAAAAAATGTCATTTGTGTACCTAAGTAATAAATAGTGAGAAAGGCAAGTGGGCTGAGAAGATGTTGAATGATAAACTGCGAAAATATCAGATTTAAAAGATGCTGCAAAAGCTCCACTTTCAATTATGAAGTAAGGTCTCTCCTGTGAGCACATAGTAGGTATTTCATTAATGTTCTCTCTCTCTCTCTCTCTCTCTCTCTCTCTCTCTCTCTCTCTCTCTCTCTCTCTCCCCTCTCTTTCTGTGTGTGTGTGTGTGTGTGTGTGTGTGCGCGCGCGCGCGCATGCGCGCTTGTGTGTATGTTATATTTTATAATTGTGAATCATTAGAGGAAGATACTGGTGACCCCAGATACAGAATTCTGAGTTCTCTGCAGAGAAACAAACCGTTTACAGATGGAAAGACAGCAAAACGCCTAAATTATATTCCAGAACATTACTGCGAAAGGAAACTAAGAGCCATCTTAGTATGGGCCCCATAGGAGTGCATTCAGGTCAAAGATATACTCTGACCACAACCGATAAAGATTTTAGGCAATTCCTTTCCATTCTACGCTTAGCGCTTTAATGCATTATTTGTATTTGGGAGGTCAGGAAGAGCTAATGGAATGTGTGACATTGAAACATCAATGAGAAACCGAAAGTTAGTTGTTATCTTATAATAGAATCAAGATTTGTGATGGCCAGACTATATATAGTTCACCTCTAAGCTCTTAACCTTCAAACACTGAAAAACATACAATAAAGGATTTTGTATGCCCATCCAATCCCCCAAAACCAGTTCCTAACCAGTCTAGGAATGCTGGGCGCCCCTCTCCCTCCTCCACCGTGATGATTCTCCACCCTACCTGATTTTCCTCCTGGTACTTGAATAACTGTGCTCCCCTTGTAGTATCTGTACAAATATCTGTCTCCCGCCTAAGATTGTAAACTCCTCTCAGTCCTGACTATCTGTCATAACCATTTGGTCTGTCCCTGAAGAGGAGAGCACTGATCCATCTCCACTCAGAGGCTGCTTTGCACCGGGGAGGCAAATAATATACATGAAAGATGGAAGAGGACTGTTTACAGTAAAGTTCACTTTGGATAATTTAAGGATAAACGTTAAAGTCTCCATTATGTATAGTTCATAAATGAGACATCATTACTGATAACTCAGAGGACAAATAGAATTTTGTTAAGCAAATTAACTTGCAGATGATTACTATTAACCTAATGGCAAATGCCTTCAGCACGACGTTGAAACAACCACCATGTTAATTATAAGTAATTCATATCAGATATTATAAAAGCATCAGATCCTCAAAAACATAGAGCTCTGCCTCTTATTCCCTCAGAAGGTTCTCTGTACTTGAAAGTAATTACACTCATTTCTCTCTTGGGTTTCCAGAAACATTCTTACCTGTCCTAAATAAGGAGAGAGAAAAACTGAGCTTGGTAATCTTCGAGGCTATAAACAAAAAGTTAAAATCATTGAGCACTGGGCCACTGAGAATAAAGGGAGAAAAAGAGACAGCAAATAGAGCCGGATGGTGCAGGACATGCAAACATGGGCAGAGAGTAACTGAAGGAGGGCCCGAGGGCAAAGAAGGAAGCAGACAAGGCAGGAAGGCCAGGGCACCTTCAGCGCCCCACCCCTCCTTTCCACGGAGATTGAAGGGCTGAGAAACAAGGCTGGCCAGGAGAGACGGACACTCACAAGTGAGTAGTCAGAGAAACAGCTCCAGACCCATAACCTAATCCTATGTTCTGCAGTGGCTGCACACACATGCAGTCAGTTTTTAAAATCATGTTCAGGAAAGATAAATACCAACTTCAGGATACTCGTTACCTCTGCCGGGGATAAAGGCGGGAAAAGTAGGGAGGGGAATGCAACAGGACTATCTTCAACACTATGTTTATTTTTAAAAGAAAGACCAGATCAAATAAGGCAAATTGGTAAAATCTGGTGACCTTAAATTATTATATGAGCCCTGGCCAGTGTTTCCCAGTGGTGAAAGCATTGACCCACGCACTGCAGGGCTGTGGGCTTGATTTGCTGTTAAGGACACTTACCTGGGCTGCAGGTCTGATCTTAAGCCCCAGTCAGGGGGTGTGCTGGAGGCAACCAATTGATAATTAAGGAGTGTGCTGGAGGCTATCTATCTATCTATCTATCTATCTATCTATCTCTTTCTCCCCCTCTCCCTTACAGTCTCTCTAAAAATCAATGGAAAAAATATGCTCTGGTGAGGATTAATAAAAAAAAAAATATTACCTAAGTGTTTTATTATTCTTTCTACTTTTTTATGTTTAAAATACATGGTGGGCAAAAGTAGTGTTACACTTGTTCTTATGGAAAATAATACAATAATTAATAAATAATAACACAAGAAGTAACTCTCTGTTTTGCATACCCACAACGGTAAACCTACTTTTGCCTCTCCCCACCCCTATAAACTACAATTAAATATATTTGAAATAAAAAGAACTTAGGAGGATCAAGA